TGAAGTTACATCATCATAACAAATAATCTTTTATTTTATCTATTTTCGTTTTTGAAATAAGAGGTTGTGAGGAGGTGCTCCATGTTTATTATCTTCATTTATTCCATTTGTTTTGATCCTCTATTTATTCATTATTATATAATCTGTTTGTCAAAGCCCTACGTGAACTCGCCGACCATGTTGGTATCAGGGGGAACGATGACTCCCAGAATAAATTCACTTAAATTACAGAATGAGAAATCTTTGCTGTAGGAGAGCCTGAACGGATAGGAATGTACTCTGACTGATGGTGCAGACCATGGGTGTGACCAAAGGCTTTGAATTTATAGTTTCAGGAATAATGTAGGATTAAATGCATATATAACCTTAATATGTTTACCATAGCCCTAAAGCCTTCTGATGACTGTTGTTCCCTTTACTATGTACATACATTCACAACACACACTTTCACTTCAGTTTTAATTCTGTTTGATGAAAATGGAGATTAACAGAATTGTGTTAAAATGCAAATTTAATCATGGTTCGTTTAAAGGTGAGCCTCAAGGCACCTCTACAGCTCACAAAAAGTCAAGTTTAGTGACAACCTCACAAGAGAACATGACTTCAGGATGTCAAGTCATAGCGTAGTGGGATGCTGTTTAAATCACGCTCTTTTACTGACTGGTTAAAGAAACTTTGAATATCATCTATGAAAAATGGACCATTAACCAGCTGAAAAGCACAAATCAAATCTGTATTTTCAATTGATTTTAGAGGCTTTAGGCAGTGTCGATCTACCTTACTCTTGCTCTGTTAAATCATGAACAATTTTAAAGGAGCATGATTGCAAAGCAGTGTAACGACAAGCCTAATTCAAGGATCATGAAAGTAAAGCGCGTCATTGTGGGATTTAAATATAATAGTTTATAACACTCTCGTCTTGTTGGCGGTGCTATAAAGCTATAAAAGAGTTACAGCCATTTTCTAAATTGGCACTTAACACTTATTGTAATGTATTATCTACTTATTACGGGCTGTTGCCTCCAGCTTACCAATATAGCTCGACCTATTTATAAACCTGCTCACACAGGTGCTTGCATACTCTCACATGTGCACAGGTTAGCTCTGGCTCACTTTCAGACAAGGTCACGATTGTTGACGCAGGCTGGTGTGCTGGGTCGGTGTTAGATATCCTTTAAGGATTGCAAACCACAGGTCCACAATAACAGCTCTATCAGAGTAGCCTGGCACCTCATCTCCTCTGTCAGAGACACATTAAAGTTGCATTGTAGGGAGAGATGGCTCATGTGCCACCCAGCAGTGACTCATTTGTACACGACAAAGCTGGTTGTTCACTCATTTACTCTTGGTCACTGACCTGGATTCAGCAGCTGGATTCTTATTTCATGTGCGCTTATGTGTGAATGGCTCTAAATTTAGCTTCCATTCAGTGGCTTTTTTTAAATAATGCATACTTTGTTATAAAACTAACAGTCATTTCAAGACTATAAAAAGATTTCGACTCTGCAATTAGTCTGAAACATAAAATGCTGTTTATCTCAGTGCACCAAACAAAGGAACCTTCTCCACACATCTATAAAAGCGAGCTCCACAGCGGGGGTTGGGGGTGGGGGTCTTGTAAATCCACTGCAACAGTTCAAGGTATTGGCAAATCATTATGTCAAACAGGAGTTGTTGCTCAGGGCCGGGGGGAGAGAGTGGGAGAAAAAAAAAGAATAGAGCCGGCACAACAGCAGACAAACATTTGTTGCACATCAAAAGACATCAAAGAAGTCGATCCTTTCAGCCAGCGTGAAGAGACGCTCACGCCAGGGATCAGCTAGATTAAAGAGGCTCTAAAGTGAGACATCGATCGTGTCAGCAAGGTTATACTGCTGGATATTTATGTGTAAAAGTGATCAGGGCTCATCCTTAATGTGGCTAAACAAGTCAAGAAACGGTGTTTGATTTAAAGTAAAAATAAACTATTTCAAACTGAGCTGAGTGAGATAAAGGGATAAAAATGAAAAAGATATTAGTTGTACCATGTAAAAGCTGTTTTTTCCATGGCATATTGGTGCACAATCAGGTCAAAGGATAAGCTAGCCCCTGGTGACTATGAACAGATGCAATCCATATCTGGCTATGTTGATGTCCACCCCCATCTCGTCTCTCTCAGAGGCGTGCAGCGATCAGACACTGACCTGTGGAAAAACTGTCACGCCTTTAGGAGGCAGATGAGTAGAGACGAGGACGCCTTACTTTTTTCCTGACATCTGCTCTCTTTTGCTATTATTAGATGAAAAGAGTTTTATTTATTTATTTATTTTCCCCCCGCCAGTGACGCCAAATCAGGGATATTTGGAAAAGCACAAGGTGCAGTAGGTTCATTATGGGTGTATTGGTTAACCTTTATTATTTTGCCTCGGGGTTAAAGGTCACACACTATTCCCCTTTCTATTAAGAGCCTTCCTCCGTTCATTTAATTACAAAGTTAGTAATGCATTAGCTTGTCACTTTTTGTAACAGACATTTGTATTTTAATCAATAAGACACGTTCTGGAAATATAATCAATAAGAACAAGCTTGAGAGGCAGAGCACGTCGCTGTGAAGGCACTTACTTCTGTGAGGGTTAATGCGTGGATGTATCATATGAAAATACGGCCATGCTCTAAACTTTGTGTTGGTCAGCGAATCAGAGGTAATGATGAGCCAGGTGTCTGTCCTCTGGCCTCCCGCCTGGAAATCAGCATTAGATTAGACTGTCAAACTGTGAGGGGATATATGGCGCTCCAATGGACAGACGCGGAAGGATTTTCATGAAAGGTATCAGTCACATCATCGGCATACAGGTCTGACCTGGTAGCAGAGTTATTCCAATGCGAGAGCTGCATTATGACAAATGTCAGAATGAAGTATTGGAGGGAGTGACACTAACAAGCTTCATCTGCTGCTCGGGACAGAGGGCAGCTCCCTGTTCTCCGTAGGTCAACACAGAGGTCCTCACTCTACATCTGGGTCTTCTGATTATTACACACCCAGGTTATTAAACTCTGTGTTTTATTTTTACCTTTAAAGACACCCCAGGTATGGTCCTCCCATATTAGGGACTCTGCGCTACCGTCCCATGAAATCTTGAATACCATTTAAAGTCATCCCTATCTAAGCTTTCAAAATTCAGGCATCACCATATTTAAAAAATCATTTAAAAAAATACTGTTTTCAGCAGCAGACCTGCTTGTAAAATCTATCTTGTGGTGTGGGAGGTAGGGATCATAGTAAAGGAAGTTGTCCCCCCTAAAAAAGTGTTATTTACACTTATACTTTATTGCAGATACTTTACAAGCACATACATTTGACCCAAATGACTTATTTACCTTTTTTTAACCTGCTTTGAGGGCAAATCAATACTAAGATTGATCCTTAGTATCTGGACAAAAGTCCTTAAACTGGTTTTGGTTAAATTGTTTGAAGACTTTGGTAAATATGAAGTTATTAATTGACTCACGTGCTAAAAAAATAATTATGTATAGTATTACTCAAGAATATATATACAAATGATATATTCCATGCTACTTAAACTACCCCCCTAGATTATTCTGCTGTCATAATGCAGGTTTGTTTGTTGTCACAGAAATCTTTAAGATCACTGTTTAAATCACTAATTAAATGCATCCTTTGGCCCAGCTTATCTGCTTGATACTTTATTTAGACTGCAGGATTATAATTATTACACACTAACCTGTCCTACTTATACTGACTTTTAAAATGATATAGAAACAAACAAGAAAAAGGAAAAGTTTGGGGAAAAAACACAATGAACCCTTTTGCGTTACCACTTAAATCTGCTCAGAGAATTTTGTTTTGATTGTGGCAGCAAATCGCAAAGTCGTACGGACGATCTAGTGAAACATCCTTGGCAGTTGTTATGATTTTACATGACAGTACTTGTTGTGATGCAAGGCTGCAAGATAATACATTAGCAATTCAATTGAGTCTTAACCTTTTAGCCTCTTTAGCCTTCAAAGTAAAAACAAGGTTGTTTGCATCCTTCAACACAGCCTTCCTGCAATGTTCCACATCCAGACACACGCATTTCACGACTTTCTTATCCCTGCAGTTAAAATCATTTGAAGACTCCTGTGAAATAAAGATGTTAATCAAATCAGAGCAAAAGAAAAAACAACAACACATGGGGCAGAATATTGTTTATTCTGATTATCCGGCTCATTTTAGATTTGTTTTGCTATCCGTTTAGTGAATCCTGACCATCAGGTTGGACCCACTGTGTGACACTTTACAAAATAAAAGCCTTACCTCACCAGAGCTTAGAGAGTGATGGTAATCTGATTGCCATATGCAATAAATGAGGGCTGGATAAACAGCCACTTTTGTCCTGTGACCTTGTGAGTGAGAGCCTCTTCCATACATTAATTAAGGGATAATACCTTCAGTGTATTTGGTGGTTTGGAGTAACATATAGGCAGCAGCTGGGTCCATTAGTCTGTCTCTGCGGTGATTTGGTGGGAGCTCATGGAACAGATCAGCAGCTCATCATCTGGATTAAAACATATAAGGTCTTTACACCCATCCAGGACAGTCGCCTGATGCCCAGAGAATAATTCCACATTCAGCACAAAGACACACATCTACACACACACAAAAAAACCCCTCACACATACACACAAAGGTCTGAATGAAGAACATCTGTCACTTCAGAAGTCTGCTTATCTGTCCCAGCCATGTCAGCACTCTGCCATGTGAGCATAAAGGCAGGAGTGGTGTTTTATGTTTTCAGATGAGTTTTCCTGATAACCACGCTGCTTCAGCCTCAATGCAGATCAAACACAGGGAGAGCCTGGAGGGCTGATAACCCCACTCAGTGTCTCTTATTGCTTTTTGGGTAAAACAGGCACAAAAGAAGCAATTAATAGTTTATCTGCCACATAAAAAAGCAGGATTCTCTCTCTCTCCCTTTCTCTCTCTCACACACACATCCTCCAAAAATGAATCCCTTGAAGCCATCCTGGCCAGCCCCCCCTCCATCCTCCTTCTTTCTCCTTCCTCCCTCACTCACTCTGAGGTCTGAGCTGCATGCTCACTGTCCCGAAACATGATGAACCATTCAGCCCTATGGGAATTTCTCCTCCCAGCAAGCTCGCGTCAGCTGCATCTGTGTCTGCCAGCCAGAGTCGATGCAGCAGCAACAGCAGTAGCAGCGGCAGCAGCAGCAGTGTGGCAGTGACTTCACTCAGCCTCACTCTGCTACAACTTATCTGGGAGGCAACACACTTCAATTAGCTCCAGCTCGGACCAGGAGGAAAAGTTCTCTCTCCTCATCTTCCCTTCCCTTATTTTTCTTCTAATTTATAAATAACTAAAAGGAGGATGCTAGTGCAACTTGAGGATACTTTTGTTGTCTGCACACACAAAGGCTACACTGGATGATGAGGGTGAGCGTGATGCTGCCTTCAGGGATGACCAAAGCAGCTGCCTCCTTCTTCCTTCCTCCATCCTGTTTCTCCTTTGCCTCTATGCTCCCTTCTGGCATGCGAGGGTCAAGTCAGCAGGATTTCTCATCCACCTCAATCCTCCCCCTAACTGGGCTGCGATCCTGTTCCTCAGTGCCACACTTGACCTGAAGGCAAAACAAAAGGATTAACTATGAACTTTGTTCCCACCTGGAGACACAGCGAACACTCAAACAGAAGAATAAGGGACCTGGTGAACGTCTACTGTGAGTATTTTTCCCCTTTTATTTCAGTGACTTGTCTCGCAGTCTTTAAAGAATCGAAAAAGATTCAACGAGCACTTTTTAATTGATGTGGACAGGCTTGACCTGGATTTAGGGAGAAATAGCATCATGTGTGCACAAGTGCATGTCTGAGAGGTCTCTGCATGTATTTTTAATGTAGCCTTTTACCTTAATGAAGGCAGTGGAGGAGGTTCTCCCACAGAGATTCATGTGCATCTGTTCGACAATACTTAGTGGATGGGAAAGTGCCTTACATTACATTTTTAAGTGTTCAAGTGGTCACGCATTTTCAGTGTTTTTGTTATTGTTGACCTGATGGACAGAAATGTGCCCAAGAACAGAGAGATACATTCAACTATTTTCAGGTGATTCTTCATTCAAAAATCCTGTCTACCGTAAATCTTTCATTCCTCTTCCAGTTATTTCCATAAACACTTTCAGCCTGTTGGTTGTAGCTTTTACAGCTCATTCCTAAATCTTCTTTTAGACTTGTCACAAAAAAAAAATCAAAAGATGTATCCTGATTTTCCGACTATATGGCTCTAAACTAATAATAATAAAAAATGTGTATATCCTCCAAAAAAGACAAAAAAATCAAGATATAAATCTATCAAAGCTACAGCATACAGACTCTCAGCCTCTGCTCCCCTCCTCTCTTTGATTAAGTGGAGATGACAAAACGAGGAAGGATTAAGCAGTGAACCGTGATTTTAACGAGTCCACCCAGTCCCCATGGATCTTGTGAGGTGTTACAACAATTGTGAAAAGGTTCTGGTGCTCGAAAGAAGAGAAAAAAAAATCAGGAAGCACAGTTCCCACAAGACGGAAAATAAATCACGAACCAATTTAATGACTGCTTCTTTGCAGCGAATGAACTTTAAATCATGTTTCTAAGACATTTCCATAGATCTTCAGGAGTTATTTTACAGGGGTTCACTTTGGGATCTGGCCTACTCTCTTTGCTCTGATCATACATACTAGCAGGTTATATGTTACACACATTAACACTGATTTTGTTGCATAATAGAGAGGCACTCATATTAAACTGTCCATTTGTTTTTGTGTGAACTTTTGTGGACATATGCAATATCAGCATGGAGTTAATTGGGGACAAGCCTCAGACAGGCACACAAGTCTAAAACTGTTATCACAAGATCACAGACTAGTCTGAAGCTGTGTCATTATCCAAATGATGAGATTTTAATGAAATGTTTTTCATAAAAAAAAAAACATCCTGGAGGCTTTAAACATAATCATTTTACTGTCCTCCACAACTGCAAAACCACTGAGGCGACCATATGTGGATCATTATACTCATCTAACGGTCAAATTTGTCAAATCTGATCGAAAAAAGGGATTTGAGTCAAAATACAGACGAAAAAGAGATTAGGATTAACCAAAAGCAAAAGAGTAGACTTTTTGACAAACACTATATGGTTTTATTTTTATATGATTTGACTCACTGGCATGTTTCAGATTTAGATTATACACACAAGCATTTGTGATCCCTTTGATTTCTTCTTATACACACAGATGCAAGTACTTCTCAGGTCCTCCTCCAGATCGCCATTATGCAGGAATGTGAACCATGGGTCAGTGGTCTGTTAGGATGCTCGGACCATTGTGCCAAAAAGCTCTGGGCTGATTTGCACATCATACATACTCGCCACACAGATTTACTCATCTCACACACACACACACACACACACACACACACACACACACACACACACACACACACACACACACACACACACACACACACACACACACACACACACACACAGAGTCCTTTGCTTCCTTTGCGTTGACCCACCTCTCTTTCTCTCTCTTCTGTTGGACTCTCTCATTTCCTCTCCTTTTCTTCCACAAATGCCACACAGTGACACTCACGCACGTAAACACACATTTACTCTCTACTGTGCTGAGCAGATGTGCTGCAACCAAAGCCGAGTGGAGAAAAAGGTTACGTATGACTGGGAGGTCTAGCAGGGGCCAGTAGATCAGTGTATGGAGCCACTGCACAGGAGCTTTAATGGCCAGGTGCCAGAGGACCTGCAGGAAGCCACTCTACAACATGTCCTTCTCCGCGTTCAGTATGGGCGACTCACAAACACAGAGCACTGATAAAAACTACATCACTATTGCTTCAGATGTAGACATCCAAAACATTATTTTTCAAGAGGCAGCTGGAGAGAGATAGTTTTGGATTCAGGATATTTGTAGCTGTCTTGGTGGGAGAGTAAGCAAGATGTTTTTGCACAAATCAAATGACCTGCTATTCTTAATAGGTTATAAATACAGATGTACCAGAAAGTCACTGAGCATCTTTAATTCCACCTCACAGGGCCAGACAGCATCACTTAGCTATTCCCCACCCTACGTCACATTTGATACTAAGCTGCTTCTGTAAAAAGTCCAAAAACAGAGGCCACAGTGGACCATATCCACTATTTATAGCGGTGCAGAGTCGGTGTTTACCCCACACTCTAAGTTCTGAGTGTACCATTAGAATGCTTCCTGTTTCGATTTAGAAACTATTAGCTGGCTTGACTTGTTCTGACGTTTGAGGTCAAGAGTTAGAATGAGTTTATTTTCTGTATATATGTGTGTGCGCACCCTGCAACATGGCAGGGATTGGTGTGTTAGGAATCATTCATCTCAAAACCAGTCAATGGTATTTTGGCTTCAAAGACCATCCATGTTTGGAAATAAAAACAACCCTCATGATACCTCTCTTTTCTGTATTTGATAGCTCTCCATTGTACTGTCTTTTTAGCGTATGTTTATAATAAAAGTTTGACCACACTGACACGGCAGAGAAGACAACAGAAAAAGTTTCTCGATGGAAGATTGGCTTTGTCTGTTTTTGTGCTTCAATATTAATGCTACTATCAAAATTCAAATTTTATATTGCTTATGTGTTGAGTTACATTTTAACCAAGGGGAAACTTTTAGTGCAGAGAAATGCAACCAGTGCAGAAGTTAAAAAAAATATAAAAACCTGCAGTTCTTCTGATGGCCACCTGGGGTGGGCCCCAATACAGAGACGATCCTCATTAGACTCCATATGAACATAGGCTTGAATTTATGGCAGATTAAAGGGCATTTATAGGATAATAGGATTATAGGATCTTTTCAGCAATTTTTTCTATTCATTACAACTGGGCGGATATTGAAAACAAATGTTGCTTTTGTTTTAGATTGATTATTTTTTATATATTATATATTTTTTGTGTCACATACACAAAGTACTAAATTCTTATGGGTTTAAGAGACACCAGAAATATGGATAAATAAACACATTAAGACTTTAAATCTTTCATAATAAGAGGTATGACCACATTGGATGGCATTGCTAATAATACTGTCAACATAATATCTTGGCTGTGTTTGTGCTGTTGGTGCCTTCATTTTATGCAAATATTGAAGAAATATATCATACTTTGTCTCAGGTCTAACCAGGGAAGCATGCTGGAGTCAATGTGAGCAGGTTTAGGATTGTTTGATCATAAATTTACGTCCTAGAAAATGATTGTGCTGTAGATGCTGACAGAGGATTAATGTTTGAGATTAAATCCTGTTAGAGGAGCCACACCACATACACAGTGTTTGAAAAAGCTTTGAATTACCTAAATTATTTACCCTCTGGGTGGAGGGGAGCGAGAAACTTGTTTGTAAAGCCTTGTGCTTTTCCTTATCTCGAGGTGTATGTCCAGGTTACGATAAAATTGAGGCGACAAATTGCCACATTTGCACTTACTTGAGAATAGCAGGGAATTCTGTGGACAGATTCACAACACCCCCTACCTTTAGCAGCGTAATGATGTGGGGATTTGAGTGATGTGATATGAAATGTCGCCATATAACAAGATAAGGGGCAGTTGAAGTCCTGCAGGAGGTCCCCTGCAGCGGCTGGAATGTTATTTGTGTGGGCCTCAGGCTGCTGCTGGCACTCGTGCTAACCTGGTACTGTCAGAGGAACGCCAATAAAAGAGAAAGTCATTTCTCAAGTATGGAGTAGGGCCGCTATCCAAAGTGTTTCATTATTGGCAGAGGCTGCATCCATACATCTTAGGAGGGGCTTTCCAGTTACACGAGAAGAAGAGAGAGGTTTTTTTTTTTGCATGAGACACAAGGGAATATATGGTGCTACAGTATGTAAGCAGTTTGGAGGAGTGAGGGTAGCACTAAATGCAGTAGTTGAGGGTGAGAAGAAAAAAGCTTTTAAATTCAAAGTTATCTATTTTACTTTATTTTCTGCACAATTCAATGAGGAATAAGCGAAAAGATTGTAAAAACATTGTAAAGCTGTGGTAAGGCCAGATAGCATTTTTGCAACCTCAAGTCCTCCATTTGATGTCCCATCCAGCCACCTAAACGCACACCCACTCTCAGTGGCTGGGATCCCAAAGGTTGAACTGCTGCAGATCCACTGTGATTTGAAGTACAATGATGCACCATAGAAAATGACAAATTGTGTTTCTTCCATTGTGGATCCATGGCAGTTCAGTTCTAGTCATTTATAAAGGTAGAAAATGTGTCTGGAAAGTTTTAAAATTTGGAGCTTAGAAGATTGAACACCAGACACAAATTCTTGGCTGTAACTTGGTGCAGAAATTCCCTTATGTTGAACTGAGCGAGTGGCATAGCTGAAAATACCATTGGCTGAGTGCCCAGTTGGCTGGGGTTGTCCCTGAGAGGAGAGTGTTTCTAAAAGACTGACACTGTTATCTCCACTGAAAATGTGCTAAAGTCTCAGAGAAATGCCTCATGCTAAGACAGAGTAGGTACAAAGATTGTGTTTTCTCCACAGAGTAAAATTATTCACTCAACCGTTTACGAATGGACACATTCCTGTGGGAATTTAATGCTGCTTCAGTACATGAAATACAAACCTTTGAAGCAAGATGAAGACCACATGGTACTGTTATGGATTTGTAGGTCATAGAAGGCAAAGCATTATTCATTTGTAAACTCCCACGAGGTTATTTCTCATATACATGTCCTCCAAGTTGGCACAAATAGTCCCTCAGTCACTTCTGATGGTGCTGCATTTAAAGAACTTGCGAGTGATGGGGATTGTATGCAGGAGGGTGTGGAGGGTGTGTGCTGCCCTCTGCTGGTTCAGGGCTTGCACAGTAGTCATATACTGTATAGTTCTGCACAAAAGCAACAACAAGGAAACGAATGTTTCTTTATGAAGAAAGCTGTAGCTACTGTTGATAAGCCAATGAAGCTTCAAATCAGGCAGAGCTGTAGCAAATGGATGGGTGGTAAAAGGGATGAAAAAAACTAATGGTTTGTTTCGATGAGTTTTTACTGAGACTGCAAAGAAAGGATAGTTACTTTTCTTACACATAGTCAAACTAGGAAAGTGCTTATTCAGTGATATTACTTTTCTCAATCATAAGGTATACAACAGGAAAAGAGGCTTTTTAATGCACTGCCACAAGTTATCTGTCAGCATGGTTGAGTTAAAGGCACATCTGTATGTTTTACTCACCTCAGAGTTAAATCTGTACACAGTTGCAAACTGAAAACTGTATTTTTCCACTCATCAATCCATGTTTTATGTCATTGATTGGCTTCATCTTAATTTGTGTCGTGATGTCGGATTTATGTTGTTACAGTTCAAAAATGGATTGAACTCACGCCTCTTTCTGCATCATTTCCCCCTTGAGACCTCCGATTTAAAGTGCAGTATATCAAAACAAGGATGAATATATGCGTATATTGACCTATGTGCTTTAGGATGGGGATTGCATTTCAATAGCTGTGGTGGAGCTGTGTACTATGGTTTAGTAGCCATAATGACCTGTCACTGATATTCACTTGGATTTACTCATCCACCGGGCAATCAATCTTCTTCCAGCATCCAAAGCGTGTGAGCCATATGAATTATAAATAGCTGATAGCCGACATGACTGTGAATTAGCTTCTCTGTGTTTGAGTTCGCCTTGCAGAAGAATAACATATTTATTGGTATTCAAATTTGTATCCAGTGTTTGCAAGGAGAGACTTCACCTCAATGATTTGATGCCATGATGAACTGATTGATGGATTTATGCAGATACTTTTTTAAAGATTAATTCTAGGGCTTTTAGGCTTTAATGGATAGGACAGTTTGAAAGAAAGACAGGAAATATGGGAAGAGATTCCACAAATCATGTTAGGAACAGGGATTTAACCATGTGACCAGGGCTACAAGAACTATAAACTCTAATCATGGGGCACCTGCTCTAAACTAACATCCTGCAATCACATTTTAAAAAAGTTTCTTTAAAAATTCACACAGTATATACCTGTAACATTATCATTATCATCCAAATGGTTTGTTTATCAGAGGATTGCGTCACAAACAGGCAGAGAAACTGGCATCTTAGTGAGCTATAAACAGAAAGTATGTGATTTATAAAAAAGCAGCACAGATTTAGGACGGGAAACAAATAATGTAATGACCTGGATTTTGAAATGTGCCACAGATGTTTGCAGAGATTGCCTAAAACTCTCCATATGGTACCTCACATGAGCTTAATTTGATTATGTGAACAGCGTGAGGGCAATTGCCAAATGACATAATTGAAGTTTGTAAGTGAAAGCAACCTTTTCAGGACAAAGCTCATATAAACCTACATTAGGTCAAATGCATCATAGATTTTGGATGTTACGAAAACAGATTTTGCTTTTAGTATTAAAAGAGATAACATGAGCTTGCAAATTTGTCTTTAGTGTGAAGGGTTGTTGCTTAATGTGTTGATTTAATGCCATCTTGTGGCGATGACTGGAACTCTTTTAAAGGCAGTGAAACTAATTTTCTCTCTTTTCTCTGCAGGAGCTGCCCCTGACCATGTCAGATCCATGCATTTCTATTGTGATTGGATGCCACTGAACACAAGAAAACCATGGAGGTAGAGAGCATGTTGAACTCCTCTTTAAACGCCACCACCGATTTCATGGTCACCCACAGTCTTTGGGAGGTGATCACCATAGCGACTGTGTCAGCCATAGTCAGCCTGATCACCATAGTGGGGAACGTCTTGGTGATGCTCTCCTTTAAGGTGAACAGCCAGCTAAAGACGGTGAATAATTACTACCTGCTCAGTCTGGCAGCAGCTGACCTCATCATCGGTGTGTTCTCCATGAACCTCTACACCTCCTATATCCTGATGGGATACTGGGCCTTAGGAAACCTTGCCTGTGACCTGTGGTTGGCGCTGGACTATGTAGCCAGTAATGCCTCAGTCATGAACCTGTTGGTGATTAGTTTCGACAGATATTTCTCCATCACCAGACCCCTGACCTACAGGGCAAAACGGACCCCTAAACGAGCGGGAATCATGATTGGGTTGGCCTGGCTAGTGTCACTCGTCCTATGGGCCCCGCCTATTCTCTGCTGGCAGTACTTTGTAGGAAAAAGGACGGTCCCTGAGAGGCAATGCCAGATTCAGTTTTTCTCTGAGCCTGTGATAACCTTTGGGACAGCAATCGCTGCCTTTTATATCCCCGTATCAGTCATGACAATCCTTTACTGTCGGATCTATAAGGAGACAGAAAAAAGGACCAAAGATCTGGCGGAGCTGCAAGGGATTAATTTTACAGCAGATCAAGGGGTTACCCAGCCTCAAAAGACCATTATCAGATCCTGTTTTAGCTGTAAATTAAGATCAACTTCACAAGACAGGACTCAAGCATCTTGGTCTTCTTCCAGCAGGAGTAATGCCGCTAAATCGACAGTTGCCACCAATGATGAGTGGTCAAAAGCTGGTCAGCTGACCACCTTTAATAGCTACGCCTCCTCTGATGATGAGGAAAGGCCCGTATCGCCAGGTGGATTCCAGACCTCTTTCAGGAACCAGGCCTGTGAGACCATCAAGAGTGGGGTTGGCAGCGAGAGTGAGCAACTCAGCAGCTATGAAGAGGATAGTTTTTTCCAGGCGCCGCCCAAAAGCAACTCTCAGAAAAGCAGCAAGGGCGTCTCCTACAAGTTCAAGCCTGTGGTCAAAGACACTCACGTGGAGAACCACAGCAAGAATGGAGACACCAAAATGGCCCCCTCAACTTTCTCTTCGGCAGAGTCAATGAGTGTGCCGTCCACCTCCTCCATGTCCAAGCCCATAGACGGCTCACTGAAGAATCAGATCACCAAGAGGAAGAGGATGGTGTTGATCAAAGAGAGGAAGGCAGCTCAGACTCTCAGCGCCATTTTGCTGGCCTTCATTCTGACATGGACGCCATATAACATTATGGTGCTTATTTCCACCTTCTGCTCAGACTGCATACCCCTTTCACTCTGGCACCTGGGGTACTGGCTGTGCTACGTCAACAGCACCGTCAACCCCATGTGCTACGCTCTCTGCAACAAAACTTTCCAAAAGACCTTCCGCATGCTCTTACTTTGCCAGTGGAAGAAAAAGAGGATTGAGGAGAAGCTCTACTGGTACGGACAAAACCCTGTGGTCAGCGCTAAACTGACGTGAACTGCTATCTAAGATGATGTTTGATGAAGGCTGCCAGTAAAATGTTTGTTATAGTCTACGATATTCTTCGGTGGCCCTTGAATGTCAATGGTATACATTTTTCAGGAAGGCAATCACATTTCATGAAACACAAAAACATTTCATTAAAATATTTTATCAAACCTGAGAACATTTTACAAAAACACAAAATTGTTTCACTTAAAAGCATTCCTGAAATATGTGTGCCATTGACCTTCAGGGCCACCGTAGCTATCAAAGCAAAACAGACAATATGAAGGGGTTGGTACAGTTTAAAATGCTTGCTTGTAAATCAGCAGGCCTACTTTCACGTGTGCTAAATGCAGCTCTGACTTTAAAAAAATGAGAAACTTATGAATTGTCCCACTAAACTGCAGTCAGTGACACTGTAAATAGACTCTAAGAAATAAACAAACAACACATTTTTCCCAGATTGATGATATAATTTTATAAATGCCATCAATTGACGCACAGGTTATCTCATGTTTTACGTTACTGTTTATTCAAGTTACACACTTCAAAGATCACATCCAAAGATCAAGAAAAAACACTCTTATCAAATAATTTACTCTGCATATTAGTTTTAGAGTGTCAAAAAAATACAGAGATTCAGAGAGTTAATGCTCTTACATTCAAAACGTCATAAACTGTGCAGATTGTTTGACTCTGTAGGTGTTGTGTCTGTATTGAGAATGCACTCTTTTGGAATTGCCATTTTATTTTGAAGGGCTAATGAGTGTCGTCCTGATGTCTGAATCTGTTTGCCTGGTCAAGATTGTAATTGATGATGAAGCCTTTTCACACGTGCCAGTATCACTAGTCAGAAGAGTTGAATTAGATCCAGCGTCACTGTTTTCAGACTTATATTCTACATTACATATTTTCTAATATGAAAAATCTCAACAGAAAATAGAAAAAAAAAAACAATCCCATAAATCAAGTAATGAGTAATCCTAAATCAAACCCTTCAATTCTACTCTACAGTCTCTACTTACAACCTGTAAGACTTATCTGTTGTTTTACAGTCATAACATGACAAACTTGGAAAATGACATTATTGTTTACGATATGAGTGGCACACATTTTTGATTTCCATCTGTTTATTATTCTTTCTCCTCAGGATACTTTCTTCTTCTCTGCACAATGAAATACAGTGTTTGTTTCTCTGAATTACTGTACCTAAGTGAACGTACTTTCATTGTATTTCTGAACAATTTGTTGTGTTCTGTGGCAAAAAAAATTGCTGTTTGTGAAATGTTCTGTAAGCCTTGGGTGGGAAATGAAATACTAAAGATGTTTTACATGTGTCATAAGCTAAAATGTCATGAAGCACATTTTTTTGTAACTGTGATAAAACCAGAAATCTGCACTTGCAATTTGGGAAATGAAGAAAACGCTTTGCTGAAAACAGTCATGAAGATGAAAACAAAGCTTAAGCTGAGACCATTCTGCATTTTTATACTGTAGTCAGAGCTTGTGACTTATTTTCCTGTTTGTTTTGTTTTTCAGTATTCTGTGATCATGTCCAAGCATTTCTGAATAAAATGTTGTGAAATGTTTATTTGTGTGCAAAGAAAACCTTTAAAAAACTCAATATTTTCACCCCAAGTAGCCTCAAACCCCTGTGTGTGTGTGTCATCCTTAGAGCTCATCCTTCTTGCAGTCTCCACTGTAGACCAGTTTTACTGTGTCTGAAGGTCTCACCATCATCCATGCATATTTACATAGTCGCTCCTTGTTGCAGTCCTTCTGCCAGTAAATGACATTCCTGCGATTGAGGTTGGCACCAGCACAGGCGTCATACCACCAACCGCCTCCTGGGACACCCTGAAACTCCAACTTGGCACAATTTTGGAAGTAGTTATCATTGTCTTTGTCTTTAGTGGTGAATTTTTGGTTGTCATGCAGGTAGTTCTCAGTATCCAGGGTCAGTGCGTCTACAGTTGTGCCCTGAAACAACCCCAGCCTCAGCCTGTACCCTGATGATTCATCTTCCACTAGGACAGGGTCATACTCTCCCATCTTAGTAATGGCATCTTGGTCCACTAGTTTCACTCCCAGTTTATAGCGGCCAGGGCCACGAGTGAGCTGATGCAGATATTCATTCCCGAGCCAGTGATCACCGGTAACATCCCCAAAACCCTGCTTGTACTCAGCCCAGGTTCGATCGAAATTCACGCTGCTGTTGACAGTGATATGCTGCACCACAGTCCAGCCCCCCTCCTGCATGGCACAGTAGGCCACAATAGGAGAGTCGCCTGGTTTGATCAGGTACACGCCATCTCTGGCCTTTCCTGAAGATGTCATGAGCATTTCATAGCAGTCTCTGGGAAGCACTGTGAAGGAGGTTAACATCACAGTCAGATCAGTGGATTGAAAATCATTAAATCAGATTTCATTTGACACAGAAATCTTTATCGACAGACACCAAAAAATCAAATTCTCTCTGTTCTTCTTTTTCTTATGAAAATGGGGGGAAAGGGGGAGGTTGCTACGACTGTTTTCTTCTTTTTTTTTTTTTTGCATTATAGTTAGATAATTGGGCAGATACATAACCGGCTACAACTATAACTCAACCCTACAAGGGTACAGACTTCTGAAGGCCCTGACGTTCTTACTTGCTTTATCCCTGAAAATGCTGTGATAGTTTTCACGAGACTGTTTCTCAATGTTTCCAGGCAAACATTGTTAAACTTTCATCAACTATTATACAAGATGTGTATCTGCCCGATTATCGAACTGCAATCCAAAAATTAGGAAAGAAAAAAAAACAATTACGGGTCAATTTGCAAATGTTTCTGGAATCTGACTCTCACCCATGACAACAAACTGAATTCAAGGTGGCAGAGCATCACTCAGTTGAAGGGCTGTTTTGAGGTGTACCATACGAATAGTTTGGTAGATTCTGCACAAGTTAATTAGCTTTTGTAAAAGAACATGAAGAAGATGTACAAGAAGATTAAAACTGAAAGTGAAAGTCTATCCTACCTTTCATTCCAGGGTTCAGGACCAAGTTATGCTGATCCGGGGGAATGACGTTCAGGTTCTCAGCTTTGAGATGCTCCATGCTAACTCCAGCCGCACAGAGCAGCAGGCCCACTGCTGCCAGCCAGCTTATCGGGGTCTTCATCTTTTAGTCTCTTCTGCTCCCAAACCAACAGGGTCTAGTTGATGACACATACTGTCAGTTTCTGAAAAAAATAGGCTGAAAACAATAGATGGAAGGTAAAATGCAAAACAAACATGCTTACCTTTAATAGATCCAACTGTGTCCAAATGTTTCCCCACACTCTGACTTTATTAACATACACTGACTGAATGCAGACAGTGCTTTCAGCTGTCGAGGGTTCACTCAAATCCTCACACTCAGCCTCTCCTGCCCAGTCATACATGGACTTCAGCCTTGGGTTCACATCATGATGACATCAACCCTCCACTTATCTGTGTCAAGTGAGATAAATCTGAATGTAAACGGCCAGATATGAGTTATTTAAACTCATATCTCTGTCTGACATGAATCACCGACGGACTGAATGAGGCTGAAGTCCAAGTTAGATTGCATTGTAAGGGTTGACTGAAATTAGTTTCTATGTTTTAACCTGATCTTTTTCCTTTCAACTTAACTTTAACTTGAGGTAAAGAGCAGTGTTGAGGTTAGGTACAGCATGTACCACTCTATAGAAGTTTGGCTTTTTGCAAAAATCAACCCATTAATGTGGACAGAAATGACCTATATCCCTGTAGTGAAGCTTGATGCAAAGCCAGTTTTAAATAAATATTTATTCATTGTCAGTTTGGCAACTCATTGGAGGAGACACATTACATGAATTGACACAAAAGTCAGAAATCAACAAAAATATATTCACATAATTACAAAGTTTGTGCAACAAGTGAATCTCACAATGTTATTATATTTAAAACATCCTACTAGTTTAATCTAAATTTCACATCTCATTACCCTTGCTGCTATGGAAACCAATAAGTACATCAAGTTCCACAGACGTCACCTCAGGTTGAGTACAGTACAAGTTAAAAGGCACAAATTTGAAACAAAAACTGCAAATTCAATCAAATGATCCCACTATACAAAGTCTGCACCAGAGGACAAATCCTCCCCCTCTTCATCATCATCATCATCATCGTCATTATCATGATCATCACAAGGTAAGCTGAGACAGAAAAGAATCAATGACCTAAGAGGAAAAAGATTATTCATGTAAGACAAGGACATTTTGTATAAAAATTCAAAGCCAACAGTGACAGTGATAATGATTTATTCATACATGCAGCACTGACCTTTGCCATGTCCCCTGCAGTTCCTGGAACAGATTTCAGAGAAGGTTCCTGACGCCATAAATCCAACAACTGCTGATTAAAGAGCTGGAAGTTTCTGTACCAACCAAAAATGAACACTTAACCACAATGGCTGTGCCCAACACTGAAAATCGCTTTTTTTATAACGTGCTGCATGATTATTGCACCAGTGAGTTTCTGATAAAGGCTAACTGATGTGTTTTTATGTGATGTGTAGCTGTTTAACCTTTTATCTTCCACTCTGTTCAGAAAACACAATAAACTCACTTATCTGTAGTTGATCCACTACAGCCGCTTGCTCTCAGCTCCTCCCACCAGTTTATCAGAACTGAATTTATCCACTTCAAACCAACATTAAGATACCTGTGGGAACAGAAATACAGTTTTCAGTCTATCAAAATTTCCTAAAATGAGTTATACTGCTTCATGCTCGGAGTTTTACTTCATTCCTACAGAGATTCTTACTCTTCATAAGGATTGGAGAGGACTTTCTTAACCAAAGGGAACAGGTCAACACAGCAGCCAATTGAGATCCTGGGAGAATCCTCCTCAATGCTGCAGAGAAAATTGGGTTTAAGCAACATTTACTCTTCTTGTAGTCGGTGTCACCTAAATTTTTAAAGACTCACTGGCTTACCTTTTGCTGATCATTGGGAGAAAATCAACTAATACACCAATGTCTTGGATTCTGTGCAGAGACAGTGAAGCTCAAATACTCTGAATTTCCACTATCATGATGTATGTCACATTGTCAGAGGCATTCACACTATATTTACCGTAGAAAGTATGTCAACAGCTCCCCAACATTTCTCTGCCACAGTGTTAAAGAGACTTTCAGTCTCAGGTTTCTCCCAAAGAGGATGTCAGTCATGGTGCTGTGATCCCGTGTGAGCTGGAAAACATTGTTGGAGTCAAATTTTATCTTCATATCAGCAACACAGTCACTCATTTAAAAAAAACAAACAAACACAGCAAAAGAAACAGGTGTTTTGTCTGAGCCATGCAATATTTCTGACCTCAGTGAGCGTACTGTAGTCTGTTTGTTCAGAACCAGTTCTTCCAGTTTTGTGGATATTATTGACACTTAGAGGAAACTCCCAAGAGTCCATGTCGAAGATCTCCTGGTGCATGTCCTGCAAACAGGTCATCTCATTTTCCTTGTTTGCAGCATCGTAAGTCCTCCCGCTCCCATTCTGCTTCCTCCGGGCCACTGCCAGATGATAAGTTTTTCTCTTGCACGACACGACCCGCCTCAGTCTGCCGCTGCCAGAACGACTCACTGGAATCCTAGGCAAGGTGACAAATGATTATGTTGAAAAGCAAGTTACATCATACACTTGAATCATGACAAAGCAAAACAACAAGTATAGCTTACCTCTTTTTGGAGGAGTCCTCATTTCTATTAGAATCCCCCTGCGTGTAAAAGATACATTTTGCATGGTGATAAGTACTAAAAAATATTGAATAAAAAAAAGTTCTAAAATAAAAAAGTTAATTTGTTATGTATTTTTGGTGACCCTGCTTACATGTTTCATGTTTTTTCCATTAATATAGGTCACTCTGTAAGGGGTTTCATCACGGTGCAAGGCATGGCCAAGATTTTGGTACTCTCCATTTTCATTGTTGGTGTCCATTATACCTGAAGACACAAAAACCCAGTTCAATTAGTTCAGCCCCATGCATTCAAACACACAGCATGTCACCATTCTGGTAAGGTTTAAAATTTAAAAACAGTGTAATTGCCTAGTTATTTACCTATTTATTCACCATTTTGCAGTTATGTCACTGTCAGTGTGAACTTTTAACTATTTGATATTCAGCCTTTCAGATTTGAATGCTGTCAATGATCATTATCTTTTCTTCATATATGTTCTCTATCATGATCAAGATGACTGGACATACAACGTCAGTTCTGGATGCATTTCCAGCATGAAGCAAGAATAGAGATGCATTTTGGGTACAAGGTCCAAAGCAGAGGATGTGGGTATTTCCTTTACTCATGTTCAATTGTATTTAGGAAGTTCTGTTAAGATGCAATCATGGTCGTTAGATTGAATCTTTGTGTGTGTATAACACACGACTGTGATCAACCATGTTCTGGTCATGAACAAGTAAATCTGCTTATAATTCCTCTGAGTGTCTCTAGAGTTTATTTTCATCAATAAAAACATCTCTGTCTCACGCATTCATAACCACCATACTTTTTACGATTAATATTTTACCACAATACCTACTATTACTCCTCATCATGTAGTTTTATATTTACATTAACTATTGCAAGATTTAATTAAATTAAATGGTAAAAAATTCACAATGCTGTATCATTTTTAAAAAGTTTATTCCACTAAACTTAATTCATATAATCGTTGTTCATCTTTTGAAGTAATTACATCTTTTTTCTTCTCGTGTTCTCTAGGGCTGAGTCATATCTTTGAGCAAATTATCAAATCAAGAAAACTAAGAGAGCTGTAATGAAGAGGCAATAAACAATCTTGGTAACAACGTTCATCATCAGACTTATTTACTTTGAAAGCTTATGGGTTGTTTGTGTGGCGCTGCTCTCAGTTTGTGAAAGGCGTTTTTTAAAAAGTTTATTCAACTAAACTTAATTCGCCATAAATTTGCACAACACTTGTTAAACCAGGGTAATCATATAATCGTTTTTAATCCTTATATAAAAGTTAATTCAACTAAACTTAGTTTGTCATAAGCTTGCACAGCACTTATTTAACCAGGATAATCATACAATAGATCTGAGAAAAGGTGTAGTGAAATAGAAATGTCTGATCTTTTAGGCTCACAAAAAAAACACAATTTCCCAGAATCCCCGCGGATAATGTTGTGTTTCGTTCGATGACGTAGTCAGGAAGTACCCCCGAGTTGGACAGACGAGTTGTGAGTGTTTTAGTCACTAATTTAACATTAACTTTGCTTACTTTAAGTGTTAAATGAGAATTGAAGCCAGGTTAGTCATTGACTCAAAGCCCAAACTGTTAACAAGAAATAAAAAAGGCTTTTCGCTGAGCGTAATGGAATACATAGCCTATTTACCGTAGTTGCTAATAACGGAGGCAGAAAAGGGACCGTGAGCGGTATTTACGGTACAGACAGCTGGTTAGTACACTGTAATGCCTTAAAAGGTGTTGTTGAAATTGTCCGTGACCCTTCTTGCTGATCAGAAATGCGTTGCAAGATGTTAAATGACACAAATAAGCAAAATACTCTCTCACATTTGGCCTACTTACCTTGTTTTTCATTCAAAAGTTTCCCTGTAATTCCTTAAGGCTTCTCCCAACAAGCTATCATCGAAATATGACATCTACATCCGCCCAGTATCAGAGAATTCATGCAGATGCTACCCTGTATTGTACACCCTCTAGCGACCGATCACAGTCTCATAGGCCTACACGTGTGGCTCCCAGTCAGCTGATCCAATAAGCCCTGTTTACATGTGGGCTTAAACATGAACTGGAGCTATAGTTACCTTGGGTGATAATAAATCAGCTTGGATTGTTGTGTTTACGTGTTCAATGAATGAAGTTGGCTTTTGCTTTCATCAGCCGTGACCCTTATCCTCATCAGTTAGGCATATCAGTTGTTTGTCTTTGCACTTTATTGATCCAGAGCAAGTTGTAACTTGTGGGCTGCTCTGAATGCACATTAAAGAAAAAACAACATCAGCTGCTTTTACTGACGCTTCATCTCTTTCCGTTCCTTTCTTGCTGACCCTGGTGTTTTACTTCTGCAGTTTCATCACTCGGGTTCACTGATGTAGAGGTCCTTGTCAGAGACAGACACACAGTTTATGTGTGTGTTGTTGCTCCTGGGGTCAGGTAGGATATTATCAGACTGTATTGGCTGTACTTCTAAACAACGATGCATAGATTTGCTCTGTTTTATCGCAATAAACTTGGTCATGTGATGTTTGCATCACACTTAAAACATCATGTGATAACAGTGACATAAAAGTTTGTTTCACTGGTTGTTCCTGTAGTCCAGTGTTAAGATGGGACCTGCTCATGCTGCCTGTGCTCTGTTAAGCCTCGCACCCCTGTTGGTGCTTGGTGTTCCTCCTATTTGGACCCAGCCAGAGCAGGTGCACCTTTCTTATCCAGGTAAGTGCTTTTCCATTTTTTCCCATCAATATTAAGAGGCAAAATATTACTGTATACTTTGTGTTGTGCAGCAATTATTGTTGAAGCTCCAAAGTTGAGCCTGTTCACTCATATGCCAGTGAGTTGAAACACCACTGAAAGTCATCAAGATCTAAGGAAAATGCTCATTCCCTCTACCGCCGCCATACAGCAAATGCAATTCTTTAAGCACCTAGGAAGCATGAAAGCACATCACCTGTGCAAAGTCAGCCTATTCATTTGCATCCCTCAGCTTCTATGAGTGCACAATGAAGGAAATCTGGTTTACGCACATTAATCTGCATCACAATTATGTGCACGGTCTTTTCTTCACAGGAGAGTCAGGGTCTATGGTGGTGACCTGGACCACCTTTAATAAAACTGAGAGTTATGTGGAGTACAGCCTCATGGGGGGTCGGCTCTTTGAGATGACAGCCAAAGGGGAAGCATCTCTATTTGTGGACTCTGGAAAAGAAAAGAGGAAGATGTTTATCCACAGAGTCATTCTTACAGGCCTAAAACCAGCTGCTACTTACGGTGGGTAGAGCTTAACTTTCACTTTGGGCTTGTGAGATTGTTTCTTTAAATTAATGTTTTCAAGTGTGTCTCTTCTCCTATGTAATTTCAGTCTACCACTGTGGGAGCGCTGAGGGCTGGAGCGACATATTCTTCTTCACTGCTCTGAACAACAGCACTAGTTTCAGTCCTAGATTCGCCCTGTATGGTGACCTGGGTAACGAGAACCCTCAGTCTCTGGCCCGACTACAAAAAGAGACACAGCAGGGCATGTACGATGTTATCCTGCACATAGGTGAGCCCCACGCTAAACCAATCAGATCAATAAAAACATTTTAAATATAATCTGAATAATTTGTACTTTTAAGACACTTCAGAAACATATTTTTTCTTCTTGTGTTGTCTAGGGCTGAGTCATATCTTTGAGCAAATCATTTATCAAATCAAGAAAAATAACTAAGAGAGCTGTAATGAAGAGGCAATAAACAATCTTGGTAACAACTTGTACAAGAATGAATGGATCAGCATTCATCATCAGACTTATTTACTTTGAAAGCTTATGGGTTGTTTGTGTGGCGCTGCTCTCACAGTTTGTGAAAAGGGAGAGTGGAGTCTGGGGAGAATGTGGGTCTGTTTTGTATCAAAACTTTGTTTGTCCAGAAAATTGGCCCGAATCTCTGCTTCCCTGACTATTGTCCCTTGTCTGGATATTATGCCAAGGACTAAAAGAACAGCCTTCTGATTTTTATTCTTTTTGTTGGCTTGTCAAATGACTCACTAGGTTAAATCCTTTTTTTTACAGCCACTTAAAAGGCTTACACAGCTTAAATGTTAAGTCTGGTTTCCTCATTAATCCAGACTAAACATTTCTTTATGGCTAACTTGGGTCCACAAGTCCATAATATAATAAAAATTGGCATCTTGGGAAATAAGCTTGTTAGCTTTCTTGCACAGGGTTTGTTGAGAAGATTGATACCAACAATGACTGAATGCTAAAAAATGAGACTTTGACCAGCAGCATGTAAGCTTAGCTCAGTGTAAGACACACATTAAAAGATTAAGAAAATATTGAGAAGTTTTGACATTTATTTTGTGTTGAATTAACACTAATGGACAGGATACAACATAATATGAATAATTAGGGAGCTAGAGAAATTATGGTAAGCTGTCCTACTTGATTCAACGTTTATCTCTAATGTTATGCTAAACAAAGCTTAGCGTAAAATTGCTTAGAATGTGGGATTTAATCATCTGCAATATAAACATACTCATTAAAAGATTAAGAAAATATTGAGAAGTCTGTACAAAAGGTGCAAAGCTGAAAACCAACACTGGATAGCTGATTTTTGACTCTGCATGACTCTGTTGTGGAAATCACAGCATGGTTTTAAAACTGAACAGGGTTTGAAGATGCATCCACAGATGCAGATCAAAAAGCTGTATCAGAAAGCTTCCCATCTTGTTATAAAAGAGAAAAATATTTATTAAATTGTTGATAAATGTTAAGAAATCATAACCAGACTTTGGATAAAGCTTACTGTCCTGGATCAATACTAAAAAGGTTTTTCAACTCAGATGCAGATTTAAATGAGTTTAAAGAGTTCTCTACAGCCAGTCTGTTGGCCCAAGACTGTTTAAGATGGACTGAGGCAAGGTGGAAAACTTAACTGTGAGCTAATGAATAAAATCTGACATCCCACTCTTTGTAGAGTGGGACTGCCCGGCTTGTGTGTATGCATGGCAACTTAATGCATTTATTGATGCATCCTTAATGAATCACAAGACAGGTTTGGGGAAAGCAAAAGCTGCAATCTAGCCCAAGCCTTTTTTGAAGATGATGCCAAACTACTTGGCATGGCTTGGTAGCATAAAAGTCTGAGTGCTAAAGTGGCCTGCCCACAGTCCAGATTTGTCACCTATTAAATGTTTGTCATGTCAAAAAAACGTGACAAAGAAGATCCTGACAGAAAAGTTAAGGAGGCTAAATTTCATATAAAGCTCCAGGCTTCTAATCATTTTTTTCTGTTTCTTTTCCAGGGGACTTTGCCTACGACATGCATGAGGTACTTTTCTTGTTTTTTTCATCAGTACCATGAACTCTGATCACACCCAGTACTAGTGCTCTGTGACAATAAGCACCTTTCATCAATCTGCTGTATCCTGGAAGCCACTCTGACACTCCACTTATTCCAAAATGACAGATTAGATCAGCCAATTCACCCCTCTCTACTGCTTCCACCTCACCACAAGGTACTATCTGCGCAGTTTAAGTCCCTCAGCCGTGGTTTAGACACACAGCTTATGATTAGTGAAAAGCCTCAAACCAGCGGTGAAAGACAAGAGGCCTGGTTATGTCACCCAAGTATTTCTTGGAAAAAAAAAAAGCGCCATTGGTAACCACAAAAACTACGTCCTGATATCATTTTAGCTCATCTGAAAACCTTCCAACTGTCATCGTTCATACTTAGCAAATCTAACCCCGTCTTGGACGCTAATATTAATTTTCCTTGAGTAGAGTCCCTGCATTATTCATGTTCTTTCTAATGCGGAAAACTGCTAAATCCAATCAGCAGGCTACAGAAATATGAATAACTATAATTCATCCAATTCAGCTGGAATGTGCGAGCACATTTTGTGGTTTCACTGATAATATAAATACAAAAACAGAGGGAGGGGAATTAATGGCTTTGGCCAGTAAAACCCATCAGTGCTGCAGTGAACTACAGGGTACCTTAAGAGCACAAAGAGGTTAGTCCACTAGACTTATGATACCAGCCTGAAGCTGTTGAGGGAAGAGACTGGTTGGGGTTTAAGATGATATTTATTTATTTATGTATTTTGTTTGTTTTTCATCAAACAAGATAAAAATAAAAAGTTAAATTCAAAGAAGTTGGACCCATAGACACTCAAATCACAACCCATTCACAGTTTATTCTTATGGTTTTGGGCCTCTTGGGTTTGGGTAACTTAATGTTTTATTCTTGAATGATGATTGGAGTTTTAATTATAAAGATTATACAGGTGAAAATATCAGGCAGTCCAAACCACAAATACTGTTTGGACAAAGGTTTCTACTACACACGTTCCTCAATACATCAACATGTACAAATTAGTACCCAGAACTGTTTCCAAGCCAAAATAATAAAATAAAATACAATACAAGAGCAATAATAAGAACGTGGAGTAATCGTAAGAACTTAAACCAAAACCCCTAGCACTGCAGTCCTTTAAACTAGTTTGGTTAAATATTCAGGAATGGAGGAAAATACACTTTTTTCTCCTGTCTTTGGCTTCAAATGTAAAGGCAAAATGTCCTTTATTTATTTTTTTATAGGACAATGCCAGGATTGGAGATGAGTTCATGCGGCAGATCCAGTCCATAGCAGCTTATGTGCCTTACATGACCTGTCCAGGCAACCATGAAGCCACATAGTAGGTGACTTTAAATCTCGTTCCGATCAATTTTACCCTTCCTCTGTTGTATTATCATGCAGCATTATACACATCGAGTGATCATACACTTGCACATGAAGGCTTTCTGACTTTTGTGTGTTTGTTTACACTTTGCTCAGGATGCATAGACATATAATTAATGGGGTTTGGGGTGAGTACATTGGTACGTGCTGTATTACATAGTGGTGAGAGAGGTTTGCCAGACTCCACATGACAAATTACTCACAGAACTGCCTACTGTAGATGTACGGTTAGTGCACACCTTCTTAAAGAGGAGAATACCGAACCCCTTAAAAAAAAACCTCTCTGGTCTGCCACAGTTTTTCCTCTATAAAAAAACAAACTCTGGCCTGCAGAAGACTCCTCATTGTACCATTTGTGCAGATGGGAGCTATTTTGGTCACCAAAGGCTGGAGCAGCATCAGAAACCACCAACATCTAAACAAGGCAGCGTTCTCCAAAGCAAACATTTATCTGACTGGGAATCATCAGCTTTCACTATCTGTTTTTCAGCACGCCGAGTCTGTCTGCGTTTTGACTCATCTTCATTGCATGTGTTGATCATATTTTGGTCTGGGGAATGTCCTGAACTGAAAAACCTGTTGAATAATTGTTGTTATTTCAGCTACAATTCCTAATACCTCCAGCTTATCAGATGTGAGGATCTGAAGGTTTTCTTTGTCTCAAAGGAAGGTGAATTCAATATATTTGAGTTTTGGACTGGTGGTCAGACTACAGTGACAACTTTAGCCTAGAATCTGAGGAATAGATAAATTGATAGAAAGGAAAATCTGCAGAATAACAAACTCTGCTGCTACTTGTTAACAAGTTTGTACTTCCAGATCCTTTTATATTTGACCGCAACTTCGGCTAAATTGTTCTCCCCCACTGATGATTTACATAACCTACCAAATGGCCCTTAGGAATCTTCAGCAACCCAAACAACATTGCCTCCTCCAGCAGACTCAGGTTTAGTTTATGCAAAGTCCCGATACTGACAAAGCGTATACTGCCTACTCTACCTATCGACCCCGGAATATCTCCCACAGCCTGACCATGGACTCAGATGGGAAGCCAGAGCCAACATAGCTAAGGGTTATCAAATGGGCACTTCTTCTTCCTTTTCACCTACAACCCACAACAACTTCAGCGGCTGAAGTAGAAAGAACAGAGAGAAAAGTCTGTGGAGAGGTGTTAGAAAGAGGACAGGGATGTTTATTCCTGCTGGATTAGGCTGTACCCTCTGCCTCCCCCTACGCTCCCATTTTTCATGAGGGGAGGAAGGAAGTGAGACAGAGTGAGAAAAAGATTAATCTTCTTCCCTGAACTTTGCTTTTGGCATCGAACTGTCAAACTGACTTTTGATACAAATTTAGCATTTTGGTCCCTTTAGCTGCTCGATCAGGTCTTCAGCATGCATCTTAATGTGAGTTTTATTGGGACAGTTGCAGTGTTTTATAAATACTCATTTGCATTAACTTGGCATCTGAATTATTCTGCTGATCTAATACTAGTAAACCCACTGCAGCGTCTTTCAAACGTGTTGCTGTAGTTCAGTTAAAGGTACTTTTTCTAATTTGGCTCAGTGGAATGTAACTGAGGAGAATTAAAGACTTGAATAAAGCTGACACAGCGAACTTGAAGCATCCTCGTGTGCTTTCAATCCCAGCTGATGCACCCTTAAATTCCAAGCACATCTGCTGGTGTCAGTGGTGTGTGTTTATGCATTTTGAAATCTATGAGGTGCCTGATCTTGCACCATAATATTTACTTACTGCTGCAGCATGCAGACAGTCCTCGCCTGGCCCTGCCATGTGTCATATGACGGCTGCCTGGTTCTTATTAAGGAGCTGCTAACGGTAGTCTCTTTTTCTTGGCACTGCGTTCCGACATGAGAACTTGATATTGAGAACTTGCTCGTTTGCTGTGTTACATAACCAGAAATCCAGCTCCTATACCTTTGTGTTTTGCTCTGCGGTGTCAAGAAATCCAAATATTCCCAGCAGCTGGCTCCATCTTTTCTTCCTCGCTCTCCCTCTCTTTACCGCTCTGTCCCTCTCTTTCCGACCTCAAAAGCTAATGGGTAGAGAGAAATTGAAACAGGGCAGACCGCAAAAGTTTTCGGTCAGCATTCCAGCGAGATGAGAACAGAGGATCCACAGAAGATGCTAAGGCCCCAATCAAGACTGTCTTTGTTCCCTTAGCACAATACGGTTCATCAGACCCTCAGAGGGACAGGGAAGTAACCGTTGCTGCCTGAAACAATGTCCCATGATGGGAGTCAGCGATATGCCTCCTGAAGGCCACAACTGCTTCCTTTCATCCCTCTAACGGCTGGGATTGAGCTCATCAGATGATGAAAGGGGAGGTTTGATGAGGAGGGAAAGTCTTGTTCAGTCAGTTTTCGAGTCGAGTTGTCCACATTGAATCTGACAGCCACCAGATTTCTATCTCCATAACATTTTACCAGGAAAGCAAACACACATGGGAGTGAGCGTGCTTTGGGTTACAGAGGATGACTCACTCTCTAAGTTGGTCTCGTACAGGGCAGATTAATGAAAGAAATAGAGACTTATCATATTGGTACTCAATCGGATTTTCCAGCTCACAGCCACAAAACAAAGGACTGTAAACTAAGCCTTTCTTTTTTTAATTCTTCAGCTCAGCCTTTTCCTTCAGGCCTGCCTGATTACATCACTCTCTCTGGATCCCTAGAGAGTGTGTATTATTATTTTACTGAATGAAAATATAATTGTTCATTTCTTCTAACTCCTCAGTGCCTTCCCGTGTGTGTTCGCTGCTACTCTTCTTAGCCACAAGATGGGAGCCTAAACCCATCTTTAAGACTCTTCCTGCTTTGAGTTCCTTCACAGGGGTGGTGGATTTTCACAGACCCAGCTCCCTCTCTTTAATGTTCCAGAGAAAATACTTCTTTTTGCAAATGTTTTTGAGTAAATTGGGAAGCTGAAGCTTGATTTCATGAAGGCTAATGTTGATTTGTGGTAATGGAGGAATGATTGACACCAGTATGGATGAAAATGCTGAGTTTAGCAGTTTTTTCGTCAGTGCTGGGTGATCACAGCTCACACCCTGGCCTTGCCCATTTAACACTGACCTCAGTGCCCACAGAACAGAAAACCACTGGTCTCATTATTTCTGCCTTAATCATCATTATTTCCAAGTCTCTTCCATTCTTCTTTCACGTTCCTGCTCCTGGCTTTTGACCTCTGACCTCTCTGTCCTCTAGTTACCATCAACCATACATTAACTGCAGTCCAGCTAGAATACAGCCCTTTTTTCCCCTTCACTTATGTAAGATAAGAAAACAATCAGTCCCATCACCTTGCTCAGTTAATGGCCCGTAGAGAAGATTGGCTCCTGCTGAAATGAAAAACCGTGAAAGGAGCGAGTCGCGTTGGCGTCAGGAGGAGGTTTCCATGAAAGAGTTGTTCTTTTTGGCACGTGACTGCTCTCGTAATATATGGAGGGAATGTAAACACTGGTGCACTCGTGGATTTAATTTCTGATTAATTCTTGTTTTGAATGATCCGGTTGTCAGAAAAGGAAGTGGCGCCGAGTGTGATCGCAGTGAAAGAAAGAAGTTTTTCCAGATTTACCATTTCCACTTAAACTGGATCAAATACAAACCACCAAAACTCGGTGGTGAAATCATTGTGGAAGTTACTTAAGATCTAATTCCTATAATAGATGCTGCATGTAAAATTACAGTGCTTTTTAAGGAGGATGTCATGGTTTTTATAGGGGTATATTTAGAGGCCTGCTTTTCTTGATTGACATATGCATTACATGCTATGTGACCTCATCTCAGCTCCACCCAGGCTCCCTCTTACTTTTATTATCTGGCCTCAGAAACTGACCATGATCCTAAGTTCAAAACTTGTAGTGCTTTGTCACTGAGGCATCGTCCATGGTCTTTCAACAGCCTTTAATTTGGAGAGGCAGCCTCTGACAGCCAAGCTGCAGAAAAGTGGACGGTCTCTTTGACTAAAAATAGCGACATGTTTTTAAAGTTTGACACAGATGTCAGCACCACAGTTTAATGGGCATCTTTATCCAATGATATATCATTCTGAGCTTTCTGGCAGGCTGACACGAAGAGGGGAAGTGGCCAAATACAGAAGAATTGCTGCAAGACTAGGGAGTCATTTTCAGAATTGCTGCTGATTCAAAGCTGAAAATACTCTTGAGTGTATTGTGAGTAAACTGTAGTTTTGCTTTGTTTGAGCTTCTCTGTGGGCACCGCAAAATAAGACAAAAAAGAAGTTTGAGAAGAAATTTCAGCCCATCTAACATTTTCCTGCTTTCTTCTTTGTTTGCAGCAACTTCTCCAACTACAGGAACCGCTTCAGCATGCCTGGCAACACTGAGAGCTTGTGGTACAGGTGAGGCGAAAGAAAAAAATAATGGTGGACATGTGGAAGAAGTTAGCCAGTTGTTGTTTTTTCCTTTTTTTTTTTGGACACTGTAAAGCAGGTGAAAAACCACAAGAAGTTTTGGTCAGGAGAAGAGGATGCAAGCTGCTCAGAGCTCAGAGCAAGGAAAGAGGAATAATTCATTTTCCAACCAAGGCCCCATGTGAAGGATCACATTTAGGTTTACCAAGCCCACTACTGTATTTCTTTAAGCATTAATGAGCTGTAATAGGCCGCCCAGAGGAGCTGGCAGTAGCAGGGAGCAGAGTTTGCTTCTCCTATCTCAGAGACATGGGGATTACACAAAGGAGCTATACATCTCACTGAGTGACTCATGGCTTACTACAGACCTCCTCCTCTCAGACAGAAAGATAAAACCATACTAGATCATAGACCAGCTGCCCACTCCTCAGACCCAGGGTCTAGACACAGACAAGCCTGCTGGCTGAGGGCCATGGCTCCATGTGTGTAGTTATGAAAACTGAAGAAACACTCTAACTGCTAGACTACTGCTGGAAACTTTTCAGTTCATAACATGGCATACACATGTACCGAACACATGCTTTTCCACTGAGGCTGCATCAGAACATGGAAGCACTCAGAAAGTAATTTTTTTTTTTTCTCAAGTGGGTCTGGCTTTGCATTCAGCAGCAAAATGTCAAAGACAGGACTGAGTTTTGGGGCATTTTTCGCACTATTGTGAATGTAAAGTGAGGCCTGACTTTCAGCATGCTTCCTCTACTGGGTCAGGCTGTGTATCATTTTTACGACCTGTGTCCGCAGCTGGAACCTGGGGTCAGCGCACATCATCTCCCTCTCTACCGAGGTTTATTTCTATCTCGAGTTTGGCCTTGAGCTCCTCTTCAAGCAGTACGAGTGGCTGATGAAGGACCTGGAGGTGAATGACCACAACAGTTTGATGTGTTGATGATGGCTAAGTGCTCTCATTTCACTTCCTGCCCCTCAAAACTACCTGATCTTCCAAAGTTGTTCTATTTTCTTGTCTTCTTTTATGATATTTCATGTGTTTGGAATTAAATCTTATCAAACTAGGAGGCCAACAAGCCAGAGAACCGAGCAGTACGTCCGTGGATCATCACCATGGGACACAGACCCATGTACTGCTCTGATGACGACCAAGATGACTGTACCACATTTGACTCCTATGTATGTAAACAGAATCCTCTCCACAGATTTATACCATAGACTGTATAAAGAATAGATGCCAATTGCCTCCTCACTGGGTGAAGCCAACCCTAGAACAGCACCCTCTGGTGACGGACTGCAGTATAGGTCATAAATCCCGCCTCCTCCAGCAATCCCTATGGAGCTGTGGACAAAATGTTGAAATTTATGACACAGAATATACATTTTTCTCCCCCCCGCTCACGATGTTGACAGATAGTTGTAGTAAGACTGGTTTGTGCTCAAATCCTCTTTTTTCTGTACAGCTCCATTTTTAAAAGTTATCAGGGGGTTCATGATTTCTATGATTGACACTTGATACAGCCTATGGGCGTACGAAGATTATATAGCTCACCCGTGGGATACGCTGTTTGAGCAGAGCATCATCACAGCAACTCTCGACGACTCTCCCCCTGAATATGTACAACACTACTGCGCAATGTTGGTTTCAGGAAATGGAGAAAAAAAAACTTTTCGGCTTCAAACCGTATACAGGCAGGAGGCGGAACCAAGTTGTCCATAGTATATACAGTCTATGGTTTATACTTAAAATTCTTATTGCATTATTTATTCTAATATTCAGACGTAAATATGTTAAACCACAACTGTTTCTTCAGCTGCTACCCCCTCTAGGCAGTTACAGACAATATAAATCACATGATAAAAATCATCAGTTTTGTAGCTCATGGTCTTGTTTTCTTTTGTGTATCATGAAAAGGCATGGCTACAAATTTCAGTCTATTTTCTATTTTAAGAATTCAAAAAAATTCCTCACTGGAGCTTTAAACAGAGGAGTTTGATATTGAGTTTGTCAAATTTAAAGAGTCTGCATCCTAAAGTATTTCTTTGTCTTTGCATTAAGTATTTGTAGGATTCATATTCTGCTGTGTTGCCTGAATTTTTAATTGCTCTCGGTGGGAGACGTGTCACGTTTTATTGCGAGCTGGCCGGTACACATTGCAGCCTGTAAGCACATTGAGTCTGGCCTGCTGTCATAATCACAGCAATTTGGACCAAATAGTTTCCACTTAAGGTTTTCTTGTCTCAGCACTTGGCACAGTTTGGACCGAGGCTGGCACAGGTATAATGGAGCTCTACCAGGTTGTGTTTTAGGTAGCAGGTAGAGTTTCAGACATTGATGTCAGTTCCTGTTGTTATTATTCCCCTCTGTTATATTTCAGGTTCGACGAGGACGGAATGACACCAAACCATCAGCTCCTGGTCTAGAGGATCTGTTTTACCTCTATGGTATGCGCTGCTCGTGGGTGTTTGTGAGCTGAAAATTTCACACTCACAGACTAAAGTCTTTCCAAATACTGAGAGCAGAGCAATTCAAATATCCTTTTATTAAAAATAAGCCTTTGGTCCCTAAAGCCCTTTTGTAAATGTTTGTCCTGTATTACATGTCTCACGCTGGTGTTTGTTGCATTAAATTACTGAAGTTGTAGTGGAACTTTGAAGGTTTTTGTTGCTCTGAAGTGAGGATTTTGGTCATTTGTGAGAAAAACTTAAAATGAAATGGGCAGTCGATCAGAGAAATATGAGATTTTGCTGCAAAAATAGGTTTAATTGGTCCATTCAATGGGTTATTTTTCTATCAGAGATGCTGATTATCTTCAAATCTCTTTCACAGGAGTGGATGTAGAGCTGTGGGCACATGAACACACTTATGAAAGACTGTGGCCAGTCTATGGTGACAAGGTCAGCTCCTCACCACATTCCTGTATTTACAGTCTTTGTTCTGGATCAGTGACAGAGATGTGTGTTTTTCTCTTCAAGGTATTCAATGGGAGCAAAGAGCAGCCTTATCTGAACCCAAAAGCTCCAGTCCACATTATCACAGGCTCTGCTGTAAGTAATTTCACATCACAGCATCAGCATTTTTCCCACTCACATTGATGCATAAATTGACAGCAGCATCAACAAAAACAATGTTGCATTGTTCAAAGTCCCTTCTGTGCAGCAGTTGGTCTGCCACATGGTTCACTGCCAGCTGTTTCTCTGGTTAAGTGTTTTCTGATGTGGTGGAGAGCAGTGCAGGACATGCCTCGTCATCCGACCGCAGAGGGATTAGTCATCAGCATATCAAACTGCAGCCAGACTCATACCGAGGCGCAGCCACAGTTGTAAATGTCACATAGGGTTTTGTGGACAGAGCTGGTGGAGGGCATTTGGCTCTACTAACAGATCTGCTGTAATCACCACCTATTCCTCTGCAGGGCTGCAGAGAGAGGACCGACAGGTTCAACCCAAACCCTAAAGAGTGGAGTGCTTTCCGCAGCACAGACTACGGCTACACCCGCATGCAGGTGGTCAACGCCACCCACCTTTACCTGGAGCAGGTCTCTGATGACCAGGTGAGCACACATGCAGGAGCATGCACATAAGTTCAACAGAGGTGAGAGAGGTCACTGAAGTTATAACAATGTCTGCTCTGTGTGTTTCAGTATGGCAAAGTGATTGACAGCATCTGGGTGGTGAAAGAAAAGCATGGCTACTCTTCCTGGTTCTGAAAAATGCCATCCTTAAAAAAAAAAAAACGACTGCTCAGGAAACGCACTTTAAACTTTGAACAAGCACATAATTTGCAAATTGTACTGATGATTTAAATGATGCATTTCATTTATATATTATTAGAAATCATTTGAATCAAGAAGTAGTAAACTGATTGATTTTATGTATTTTTTTCAGCTTTAAACAATCACAACATCTCTCTGTGATGACTGAGGATCAAAATGCAGCTGAAATGAGCTGTTTTAACCCTGTTTTGTAAACAGAAAATTAAAAACTGTCAATTTTGCTTTGTTGGGTCTGTCGGTTTGTTCTTCCTCCAAAAATCCCCTTTGCTCATCACTGTAGTCTTAATAAGATTTTAGAGTTTAACTTTTCATCCACTAATAGATAGTGCCAGAATATCCCGTTGACAAAAGCAATAGACAGCAAGAATCTGGCAGACACCAGGCGCCATTCCCTTCAGAGCACATTTTTCATTTCAAAACCTGGAAATGCTCTTACACAGATCAGATCCCCCCTTCTATCACTCTGTCTAGATGACAGATTCTCCCTTGGATAATCGCATCAGGATATTGGAACCTTATTTCACCGTCCATCTGTGTGGCCTTCGGGGCCTGAAACAAAAAGACACATGGATCCCTTCGTCTGCATAAAAGGGCAGTTATGTAACTCAGGGATGTTTGTGGCTTGGGCACATGCAGAGTTAGAGAGGGCTCCTTCCCCAGAGGAGTGTTTATGCCATGACTCTCCCCACTTTGTTGGCGTTAATTCCTAATAACAGCAAGCTGCCGTGGATGAATCCTGGCAGACTAGCAGCATGGATCAGCGTGCGGCTGTGTTTCGAGTTAAAGAGTTTAACCACCGCCAGAGTTTAATCATGTATCTGCATAATTATGTTGACACAAAATGTACAAATCAGTGATTTGTTCACACTTCATATGCATTTTAGCATGGAGCACATTCCCTTGAGATAATTTTTGTTGGAAACAGATGCAAACTTTGAGAGTATATACAAACAGTGATGGAAACACTGCAGAAAAGTGCAGATTAGCATCTGAATGAAGAACCGCCTCCAGTGAGAAGACAAAACATTCAAGCAGCTTTCACTTGGTCAAGACGTGTCAAAATGAGTTAGCCAAAAGGAGCTGAGAGTTCTTGCAGAAAGTACAAAAATAGTCAGGCATCAGTAGCATGTGTGTAAATCTATCCAAGGATTTGTTGAACTTCTCTCTGATGTCGACGCCCCGCTGTGCTGCGGTGTCTGTGCAGACCAAAGAGACACAGGCGTAGAGCGATCACACCTCATACTCACATGCTCTCAGCGTGCCTACCCACTGCTAGCTGCCACTCAAACACAGCCACATGAATGTCAAAGTATCTTCATGAAGAAGGCCTCATACGACTAAGAGCCTGACCTTTGACCCCCTCATGCTGTACTGGGTACATTGTTGTGTCCCACTGAGTGAGAGACATAACGAAGAAGTGCTGTTAAGTAGAGACTCAGGGGGGTATTGGAGGAGTGTGCTGGCACTTTGTACAGCAGATTGCATCATTGCATTTGTTTACAATAGCTAGCAACAACATTTATTGTCCCATAAAGAATAGTTGTTTTCCAGTTGGTCATCCATGTACTATGAATGACGCAAAAAAAAAAAAAAAAGATAGATGGAAAGTTCTTGCCTTAAAAATGAGGATGTCTTGTGGCGTGCACGTTCCTCATCCTTGACTTCATGTGATTTTCTTTAAATCCAGAAAAAAGAAAACATTGATCAGGATCCAGGAAAAAAAGGGGCAGGGAGAAAATAACATGTCACATCAGATCGCAAGCCTATTGCTGAAATATGATGTGCTTATTACTGCTTATGATAGAGGAACAGTGGGGTTTTGGTAGTGTGGTTTAAGACTTTTGTTGACAGAAAATGATTCCTGCCTTTAATAGGGCAACACATTTTATAGCACTTCCTTGACTGCTCTGTGTATGCCAGTTCAGTGCTCTCAACCCCGGGCTTTGGCAGGTCAAAAATCAGATTTATTAGCTTATTATGACTAAACTCACTTTCAAGAATTTTATTTTCACAAGCATGGCGCAGACTGATACCCATGTGAAATAACCCATTTCTCTGTGATGTAGGTTAGCCCTGTCATTCTTGGTTGAATACCTAGTAAAACAGCACTAAACTTTCTGAGACCTTACCATGACCACAAAGCCACCCCACATAAGTTAGCTGTATTTTAACAGGCTAATTTCTAATGACACTTTAACAGCTATTTATCCTTTCTCAAGCTTACTGCTAAGTAAACCCTTAAAGTGATGAACCCTTTTTGGACCACAAGCAAGATTAGGATGCAGATGTCTCTTTATCTCCACCAAACATCCGTGAAGCCTCTTTATGAGACTCTCCGAATCCCCTTTGGTTAAACTCTGTGGCTTACCAACATTATTTATCTATTTTCAAGTGTTCCTCTTCGTCCTCAAACTTAAAAACAAACTCCCTGAAGAGACAGGAGGCGGCTTCTGTGTGGGATTTCTCTGCCCGGGTGATCAAGGGGCGGTACTCGATCACAGGGTTAAACTGTGGATATACTGGGGACATGTGTAATGAATTCAAGGCCCTCAGATGCTGGATCTCGGGGATTTTTCAACAATCCAGAAGCTCAGTGTTCTTCCAGACCCGAAGCGCCACTATTAAGCAGCCTCAAACCACCACCTAAACAAACAAGCAGAGTACAGTCTGCCCTGGCACATCACAGCACAGTTTCGCCATAATTACACTCTCAGCATCAACACCGCAATGACTTACAGGGCCTTAGAATACGGCATCATCAGGACCACAGCATGTGCTGCGAACACACTATATTGCCACAGTAAATCTGAGGTAAACACGACAGCGCCGCCACTGGAGCAAGGTTTTGTTTTTGTACTAAAGCGAAGAGTGCGAGGGAAATACAAAACACATTTTTTTCCACCAGAAAAACACAAACTAAGACGGATCAGACAGGGTGCTTGATGAAAGCAGTATATTATTTCTAGAGATATGCGAGGCAGTCTCTCCTGGGTCAAAACAACACTAAAGTTAAGTCTGAGGATTCTCATGGATGAACCGCTATAGGGAGTCAAACAGCACGTGTACAGTCAGCACGGAGCATGCAGGGCTGTTAATCACATCAGTGTTACAAGGAGACACATGTCTACTTTTAATAGGCCTCCGTTTTGATTGATTACCATAAACACATGAGCTGTAATCTGCAACTATTAAGACTATTTACAGCACGAGATGTTTTGCTGCAGAGTATGAGTCAAAGTCCACTGAACTCTGGTGTCAGCCTGCTCTAATAACCTTCAGCATTACCTGAATTCAAAGTCATGGTCCTCTGCCAGGGTTTAATTATACAGCATGTGTTTGTCTCATAAGTTGACAAAATATATCATTGCTTTAAAGACACTTATCTGACAAGTCCAGACATACATCTTATTTCAAGATGCTACAAGCCAAAATTAAGGCCTCAAAGAGATAGTTCTGGGCTATATCTCCACTACACTCTATATTGCTCAACAGCTATCATAATTATGTTAGTTACATACTTGAAATAAATAGTTAACGAATAATGGGTTTAAGTGCAACGTCTTAATTCTGTCTAAAAATATACAGAATCTAGACCGATGAAATTAGGTCTAAAAAAAAAAAACTAGATGTCTAATAGCCGTCTATTGCTCAGTGGGTGAGGCCCCAAATTTTTTAATGCCATTTTTTCTCCTCACTTCCAGCCGTCAACCTCCCCTGAACCCGAGGACAGATAGGTCATGCTGCTTCAGTCAAGGTTGTTCTTGAAAGCTACAGCAGGCCGACCCAAGACTCCTCTCAGTCTGCAGGAAGTGTTTGCTTTGTGTCAAGGGAGGGCAGAGATTCAACTCATTAACTCTGAGCCTCAACACTGCGGGGGGCTCTGAGAGCTGGGTGATAACAAGGGGCATGCTAAACACTGGCTGCTGTTGGCAGGCAGGGTTGGGGTTCGCTACTGGGTTCAAGAAGTCCATGTTTGGGTCTCTAAACAGTCCAATCCAGCTTCCCTCCTAATGGGGGGAACTGGATTTGCAACTGTCGACATGTGACGTCAGATCTCTTACCCGGTGGCTGCCTGTAAAGAAAGCCTTACTATAAACAGGGCCACACATCACACTAATAATGGGGGATGTTTCGTCATGTCTTGTTGTGGGGTTCCTCACCATCTTACCAATTTTAGACATCTACTTCATTCCTCTAAGCCAGCCCACAAGGATCCAACTAATCTAACCACTACTAATTTTCTCAGGGCTCCGTCATGCCTACCTGGTTGAGACAAATTGCACTGAAGAGCTGTCTACTCTCACAGAATGCAGCATGCTGTTGAGGACAATGCCAGGCTCATTATTGCCTGTCCTGTGTCCTAAATGTTGCGCATGCCAGGCAGTCTGTCTGCCCACTTCAACTTGTGTCACTGTAACGTTCTCACACTTGGCTCCAAATATCAGGGAAGCCTGCATTGCTGGAATTTCCTAACATTGTAGTGTTCATGTTGTTCTCCGTTCTGAGCCTGATCTGCATAGCTGTAGCGTACAGGCTGTGATGAGGTGAACAGCCCACCTTTGTCTTTTTGGGTCCAAAGCCCGCAGTCTATCAGCAATCGAGATCTGAGCTCTAGGAAGATAAAAAAGGTCAGGGACTAGCTTACAAAACCTGTCCAGTGTTTTCTGGGAACACTAAGTCAAGGATGAAATAAAGCTGCGGTTTTTAAAACGGTTTCAATAGGAATGAGGTGATTAATGGGCAAAAAACTCTTACCTCCATAAAAATGTCACTAAGAGAGCCTGAAGACTTGGTGAGTGTCCTCCACCTTCCCTGCACGTGCAGAGGCCGTACTTCACACTCCTCACATTAGGAGACAAGTACAGGAAAAGAAACCGCAAGCCTTTTAGAGCACATTAAACACATGCCTGCTACTACTACGACTCGAGATGACAATCAGCAATCCCAGCTGTGCCCAAAGGAAATCATATAGCCCTGTAGGAGTGTTATGACAAGGGCATACCCCGACTCTACACACAAGACAGAATTTCAGCACCTCACTCCCCACGGGGACTTGGTACAGGATCTTTTTGAGAAACTCCAGCGGTATCGTAGCAGGGTTTAAAGAAAAGATAGATCTTTCAGCACTCAGCAAAAAAAAAAAAAGAGACAGCTTTTTCTTATCCACCTGAGGTAAGTCAGGCATTCAAAACTGTCCATGTATCCTGGGAAAGCAGCAGTGAGCA